TTTGACTACCAAGCCAGGATAGTCTCAATTGAAGGTGCTATGCTCTTAGAAAGCATTGAATCCATCTCAAAATGAAAACCTAAGCTAGATCCTCCCCACCCCCAGTCTTTCTCCCTTGCCCCCGCTTTTAGGCTACCAATTTTGCTACAATGAAAAAAAAGTACTCCCAAACTCCCACAGATGGCATGATGTTAGGATCAAGCCTCCGTGTATAAAGAGTTTGGTGACTAGAAGATCTCCACATCTTAAGGTTAAAGAAAAGTAATTTATTTTTGACCACAAGAGGGAGGCCCAGGGTCAGCTAAGTGTCTTGCTTTAAGGAAACTAACATTGGAGCTGTATCTACCGGCCGCTAGGGGGGGTGTAATGGATATACTGTACTTCTATTTTTTAGTCACTGGATCAAAAACTGTTCTTGAGAGGTTACTACAATGTGCACTCAAATCACGAATATTCCTGCCTTGCAAAGTTCAGTGCGTCTTTTAGAATGGTAGTGTGCTGGTGAAATAAAATACTTATGTTGGCTGGACAGATACAACAGCCACTTCTGTGCCCATGAGAATTCCTGCTGCTGTTGTACCACAATCAGCGCACAGTTTTTTAATTAAAGTACACATCAAAATAGCATGTACATACAGAAATCCAGCCTCTCACTTCAATACTCATCAGCATTTCCTGTGTTGTCTCACTCCAAGGGATACACAAACATGGGGAAGGAGGACAGGGAAACCCACTGCTTTGCCCTCTGCTTTGTTACAGGTCATCTGTGTTAGAAATAAAGGGAAAGTAAAATGGATGTAGGTTTTTTTAAGGTAATTGTATACACATGTGGCCTTAAAACCTGCTGCTATATGTCTGTTCAATAGATTTAAAAAATAATGCCAATGAATACTTAACTCTTGTAGCACTGAAAACATTTGGTATCATGTTGTCATTGTTCAAAGTCAGTTTTATATTTTTTAAAAGTAAAAAAAAACAGCATCTTTGATGAAAATCAAATGAATTGTTGATAATTTTTTAATTCATTTTTATCCTATTTAACACTCTAACACAGCCAAGAGTTCTCTATTAAAAGAATGACTTTTATGTTGAAAAGTATCCTTTCATTCTTGTTTGGATTATAGTAGAGTTTCCACACACATCAATCAATGCCCCATGTATGTTAGAAGCCTGGTTCCCAGGTGTGCATTTTTCTGAAGGGAGGGGAAAGGTAAAAACTGTATTAACAAACAGTAAGGGGAGGACGGTGTAAGCCTGAATGTGAGATCAGCCATTTTTTGGGAAAACATTTTTTTTCAAGTCTCTTCTTCTTTGGCATTTTGAATACATGAAAAGTAAAAGAGTTTAATGGACTATTAACCATGAAATGTCAGGAAGACAAATCTAAGCTCACTTTGTGGACAGCTGTGCATTTTCATCTAAAATTTCAAAACACTTTTTTGTTTTATTGGACTTACAAACCTAAGGAACCATTTTAAATATTCTTGAAGCCATCTACTGGCATCTTGTCTGTTACAATTCCCCTGTAATATCCCTAACATCAAACATGAATGAATTGTGTGCATCAGACATATCAGTTTATATTTAAAAAACCCAGCCAAACCCAAAATGAAAACAATTTTCATATACAAGAGGAGAGACCTGTAAATTACCTAGCTAGATTTATGCACTTTTTGTAAGATGCTCAGGTAATACTGAATCAAGTACTTAGATAAAAATAGATTTGTTGCAAGGTGAGTGAATATCGTTCTCATTTTATCAGTGGTTCAATTGAGAAAGAGAAGGCAAGAGACTTGTCTGTAGCTATATGAATTAGAATCCATCTCTCAGACCCATGAATGACATGTGCCCCCTGCAGCGGTGGGAGGAGTGCAGCGGCAGTAAGCAGGGGAGCTCCTGCAGATGTGGGTGGCAAGGGGGAGGGTGGCAAGCGACAACCAGGGGTCAGCAACCACCTGCAGACTCTGCTGGCAGTGTCAGCAGCAGCCAGTAGGGATCTCAGACTGCCCGCAGATGCCGCCAGTGGCGGCGGGGTGGTGAGCGGTGACCCCCTTTTTGTAGGGGGTGCACTGCCACACTAAGAGGGTACACACGTACCTGCGTGCACCCCCTACACTTTGCCCCTGCTCAGACCCCTCCTCTAGTGACAGACCATCCTTGACCCAGAGTTGAGGGCCTGGTATTCCAGTAAGTGTTTGTAATTGGCAGGATGTGAGTTTAGCAGTTTGACTCCACTTAGGCATTAAAATCATGCTCATCAACTGTCAGATCCATTGCAACTGTCCATTTTATTAATTATCATTAACATCTTTATGATATTCATATGTATTTAAACTTTCAACAACTTAAACTAAACAAACTAACAAGACAATTTTTGCTATAATGGTAAAGTCATGGCTTAGGTGAGGAAGATACTGTTTATGGTAATGAGGCCTTGTAGTCTATCCATCACCTTTGCTACTGAATTGATTACAGTATTGTTTCTGCAAAAGAAAACAAACACACACCTGCCAATGTGAGATTGAGGGCTGTTAATACCCTTGTTACACTTAAACCAAATTGCCATTTTAAGAATGAGTTTTTCCTTTAAAGGGACAATTTCTCCCTCAGAATTTTTACTTAGAAACCTTTTTTCCATATTCTTATTGCTGGGTATTGTGAAATCTTTAGGATACTTGGATAAAACAATACTGTTGTCTCCTGAATGTACAAAATTATACCAAAACTTGTATACCAAGGGAATGGAAAACAAAATAAATTAGCTAAATGTAATAATGAAAATAATTTTACCCCTCCTGTTTATAGCTGCTAGAATTTCAGGGTACTTTGCTACAGCAGTTGTTACTATATTTAAAGCTCTGAAGTTTATTGTCAGTTTTCAGATTTTCCCCTTTGCCTTTAAAATGGATCAAATCAGAGAGTCACACACACTAAGCATCTGACTTTACAAACTATTTATAATGAGTTATAATCTTATTTCAGTTTCTAGTGAATATTTACACTGCCTTTATGGGGGAGGGTTTGGTCCCTCAGTCAAGACACAGGCCTGCACCTTACCATATTTTAACTCTTTTTTTGCCCAGACTTTAGGAAATGCTTTCATGTAATTGTCTTGGTTAACCCTATCTATCACAGCAAGAACCTTAATAGCCGCTACCACTTCTATTTCTCAGATATTTACACTATACCCACACTATTTCTGGACATTCTTAACCCCCATTACCAATGAGAAGGTCCACTTTTACACTTCTAACAGTCGCTGTCTTGCAATACAGGCACAGAGCAACCACACAACACTGCTTCATTCTCTGTTTTGCACAAGCACTTTAACAATCTCTGCGATGCAGCCCACTTCTTAGGCTTTCCTGCTGTTACAAACATTTACGCAGTTTCTAGCACAGAGCTGAGTCTCCTCTGCCACTGACTTCTTATTGGACCTGCAATAGAAGTGGTTGTACTTAATCCAAACAGACCTCAAGCACTGAGATCAAGTTACAGCGTTTCCTCAGTCGCAACCGCTGTAGCTCTCCCTGCTCTAAAGCAGTCATTCCTAAAATGTTATTCTTACTCTCTCCTCCTGCCTGCTCTTGCATCCAAACGTTTCACTGCCATTCTTTTTAAACACTTGCCACCTCTCTCTCTCTATAGCAGCCTTACAGCCTGTTTTTCCACATCCCTCTGTCTTTCCTTCCTTTTCCTCTGTCACAGGTCCTTACTTTCTGAATCTCTTTATGTAAGGAAACAAACCTTAAATGGGTGAACCATGCATCTTGGCTAGTGAATTTGATTTTTAACTCCTGCCCATAGGGCTGTAGCAATA